TATAGGTTTTGAAATCCTGTAACCAATCATCCACAAATACCAAGGGATAAGTGTATGACACAGCCTGTCAGGTCTGCTTCTCTGCATAACCCTAGCTAATACAGAGATACAAACATACCTAGGACAAACTCCTTCAAGCTAATGTGGTGGGAGAAGAGACACACATATAGAAATAAATATCTATTGACAAGGTGGACAGAGAGTCAGGGGACAAGTAATTGAATCTGTAAGGAAATGGTGAGGTATGGAAAAGACAGTAAATAGGGTTAAGAAAGACTTCTTGAAGGTAATGTTTAATCTCAGCCCTTGAAGGATAGTTTGGAATTCATTGGGTTGGGAGAGAAGAGAACGTAGGAAGAACACATCCATAGAGGGAACAACCTGGCTAGAGCACAGACGCTAGAAAGCAGAAGAGTAAGCCAGTGTAAAGTGCCTGATCACAGAGGAGAAGTGAGCTGCGATGACACTGGCCAGGGTATTAAAAATGTAAATGTCCTTTGAAAAGATCAGATGGGTGGTGGAGAAAGCTCAGTCACTAAATCATCTCCGGAATCATCATGTGATGTCTAATCTTGGGTGTCAACTTGACTATATCTGGAATCACCTAAAACCCAAGTGGCTGGGAATGCACTCAGGGATTTTCTTGATTGCACCATTTGAGCTATAGAGACCCACCCTAAATCTGAGCAACACCTTCTGGTAGCAGCCCACATAAAAGGACATGGAAGAAGGATGGTTTTGCTTTTCGCCTGCTTGACTTTACTCTTGATGGCAAGTTCATGTATCCTGATGCTAAGGTATTCCTTTACAGTGGTGTTAGAACCTACTATTTCAGGATTCCAATACAGACCGAAGACCAGCATCTCTTGAGGACCTCCCCGGGACTCCAGCACCATATTGTGACCCCTGCCACATCCAATCTCCTGGACTAAACAACTACTAGAAGTTTGGCCTTTGTATCGGGAGACCGCCATTGTTGGAATGGCTTATAATCAGTCATAACCTTCGTAAGTCATAACACATACACACATAACACAGACAACACACTCATATGGGAGGGTCTTTACAAACACCACAGCTGGTAGAGTAACCGCCTGTGTGAAGCTAGAAGAAAGTCCAGTTCAACAGGACTCAGTAGTCAGTGTTGGTTCAAACTCTGAGAGTCTGACACTGGGCAGTTGATTTCAGGCATATTTAAGTACAGTACAATCTGGAAAAAAGTTTCCTGGTGTAACACAATCCCATATGCACAATGGGGCATAATTACATTGAAACTCTTTTCAAAGAACGTGTCACTTCTTCCATGAAGATGAGTTCTGTAGATAGGCTACATGTGTTATCTTAAGGACCTGGGGGAGGATCTAGTGTGGTTTCAGTAGTACAGATAATGCAGAGGACACCTAGGGTGTTAGCCACCTCCGGTCCTGCTTGTGGGAACTTACGTGAACAAAGTAAGTCATGGCCCTACAGAGAGCACAGAGGTCACCTAGGCTACTGGCCAACTCCATTCTCAGTCTTCCGGGTGGAAAACAGATTATAAATTCCTTTGGAGAGACAATCCTGCTTGTTTAACATTCTAGGTTTTCCTAGTGATTATCTGTGAGCACAAGGACCTTTAAATGATGTCTTGTAATCCTGGCACTGAGGAGGAGGAGACAGGAGGATCCTTAGAGTTTACTGACCAGCCAGCCTGGCTTATGTAGCAAGTTCCAGGCCAGACATGTTAAAAAAATATATATAGTAATCTTCATTTGAAAACTAATCAGAATGTCTGGGAAGATATCTCATCTATGAACTTTTTAAAAATTGGTTTCTGAGAAATGACACCCAAGGTTGTTCTTTGGTCTCTACATGTAGGCGCAAACATATGCACTTGTGCCCATACGTGCACGAACATGCATCACCCACACATACATAAGTAATTAGAAGCATCAAGACTAAGAAGAAAGAGAACACAGTCAAGAGCTGCAAACAGCTGATAAGCAGATCACTAATGAGTCGAAGGCAGGAACTCAATGATGCTACTAAGGTCTGGGGCCAGGTAGGCTTCAAGTATAGTGCAAGAATCGGTTCACAGATGTTTATGAACACTTCTTTATTCTTTCAGTGGCCATCCCTTGAGCAGTAACTGTGTGTGTCGGGCAATGAGAATGGCAGTGAGAATGACCCAAAAGAGCTCTTTTTGTCTAGGAATGAGTTTGCACTAGCCAAAAAGACAGCCACATAAACAGATCATTTCAGTGGTTAACAACATGGAAACGAAGAGATGGCCATTTGACTTATGCTGGCCTTCTCTTGGGCTTTGGGCTTCTGTTGAGATCCTAGTAGGTCCATCAGGGAAGAAAACTGCATCCTGTCCTATCCAAAGGCAATGTCTTGCTAGGCACTCGAGAGTCTGCAGCTGGCTTTCAGGGGGACCTGAGAAAGCTCTGTGTCTCTCATGCCACTGTGGGCCTCGCCTAAATGGAGCAAGTAATTTGTTACGTGAAAGGCAACAATAAGTATATTACTGTATCAACGTAAGATTTTAGACAGGGTCAGAGGCAGATGTAGTGCTGGCTGGGAGGTAAAGGAAAGGAGATGTGTGGTTGAGACAGAATGTGAGGGAGGAGGAACTAGTCATGAACTGGGAAAGAAGGCTGTGACTATTCCATTGGCCTTGGAGTAGCTAGATTTCTGATCATAGCCCCTTCTCTGACCTTATAACCAAGCTCCACATTCCTCATCTATAAGGACGGAAGTGATTTGTTGTGCACACCAAGGGGGAACCCCATGTCTGACGTTTAAAAGAAAATGCAGGGGAAAGAGCAGGGTAGATCTCCAGAGAGCATCAGCAAATGTCATGTGCTCTTTACAGGACACGCATCCATTGTGCCTCTTTCCCTGTTTCCTCCTCTAAACTGGACATGACAGCACCCTTTCCACAGCTTGTGTGGAGACTCACTTAGTTAATACAGTTTATGTGTGCTGTGTTCAGAATTCCTAATGTGTACCATCCCTCCTCTCCCATGCCGAGCTCAAAGTCTGGGTAAATGCTTGGATCCATTAAAAGAGAACTTTCAAGGACTTGAGGTTCTGAAGTTGTAGTTTAAAGTTATTTCAGAGAGACGCTATCAAATCTGAGCAAGTTGCTATGGATTTTTTTTTTCTGGGATAGCTCCCACCCTAACCCTAACATGTCTCATCTTGAATGCCTGAGAGGACAGTTATCACCCAGGAGGCTCTGATCCACTTGACTTAAGCCCCTTCCAATATCTGCAGAAAAAGACTTAAGCACATGGCCCCAGTAGCTCCTAGCATAACAGAGCATCACTGTATCTTCACCTGGGCAGGTTGGGCACAGTCCTTTCCAGTCACTCTTCAGCTTTACCCAGTTAGTTGCTTTCAGGGACAGCTGACAGCCTTTTTTAGCCAAGCAGCTGCTCTCTGATACACAGTGTCCCTAATGCTCGAAGTCTGGTGGGTGATGACTGTTCTGTATCCCTATCAGCAGTGGATAGACTAGAATCAACCAGTTCCTTTGATAGCCTCAGGATGTCTAGGCTCCCGTTCAAATCATTACCATCATAACTCTAACCCTCAAGTCACAACACATTTATTATATAATAATTTCCATTGCCTAGATCAATGGAAAGAGAAGAACACCTTCTAGTTGTAAGGAATTGATAATGTGGAGAAAAATCTCTCTCTCTCTCTCTCTCTCTCTCTCTCTCTCTCACACACACACACACACACACACACACACACACACACACACACACACCACCCACATGGAAAAGTTATATACTAAAGGATGGTTGTTGAGTGCTATTCTATGAGCATAACAGCCATCGTCTTCTTCAGAGCAGCTGTGACTACTTGTGACTCTCGAGGTAGGGTCCACTGAGTGTGGATGTTCCCTCATGGAAGGAGACTGTGAGGAAGGTCATTGAACCCTCCCTTGAGATTCCAGCCACCCCTCCCGCGCCTCTCAGCCAACTCTAAGTAGGTGCTAGAGTACACAGACTACGGGAAGGTAACAGAAGAATGAGGAAGACATCCATGCTGCCGTGAAAATTTCAGGTGTGGTTGCTTTGAGACCTTCCATGCTGCTGGACCGGAAGTAACCCCCTACAGAAAGCTCAATAAACATTTGGTTCAAGACCAAGTTCGGTGGAATCCTCCTTTAGTTTGTTGTTGGTACCCTATCTGGAAGGAGCGGGTGTCTCTCTAGGAAAATATCATGAAATAAGGACACACTGTCACAGCATCATAGACAGTGGCATTTTTTTTTTTTTTAAATCCTGAATTGTATTACTGTCACACTGGATATTTAGAAGATGGCTCCGGTAGATTTCAAGTGGAATAGTGTGATAGCCAATATCACCCAGAGGGTGCGCAGAATGCGCACCCCTTATTACTTAGATAAAGGCAGCTGTCAAAAGACTTCTGCTTCAGGATGAAGGATGTGGTTTAGACCCACATTTAAAATTTTTTTTAACATTTTTGTTCAAGAATTGAACCCAAACAGGGCAGAGGTCTACACAAAGATGCAGACATACGCCAGGTTCTCAACACTGTTGGTAGTGTCATGGATCTGTCTACTCACACTAGGACCTGTCCGCCACAATCCTTGTGTCCCTGTCCCCCCCCCACTCCCCCACCCCCGTGTTTTTTGTTCTTCACGTTTTAAACTACTCATCAAGCATGGAACTTGTCTGTCTAGCCCTGAATGGAGGGGATGAAAACATTAGCTAACAAAGTAAGAAGAACGGACGAGGACCGCTTCTGGACCAAGTCAGGCGGGGGAGAGCGCAGGGCCAGGGGAAGCCAGAGGGAAGGGGCTCCTCCTTGGGGGCTTGGACCTGATCACAGCTCCCGCCCTGGGGCTCCAGGGCCGCAGAAGAGAAGGCGGTGCCTTGGGAAGGGGGGACGTGGTGAAAGCAGAAGCAGCGCCCACTCCCGGAGAGGAGGAGGAGGAGGACTGGGGCTGGGCGGCTCCGAGGTCAGGGTGAGCTGGCTGCGGGAGAGGGGGAGAGCCGGGCTGCGCGGGGGCGCATGTGTCCCACGCTCCACGCTCCGTCTTGCAGGCCGGCCCACGGACACGAAGCCGGAAGGGAACTGGCGAGCGCGGGGTTGTGAGCCGGGAGTCCAGCTCGCCCTGCTCTCGGGAGCAAGCCGGGTCTTGGCGCTCGCTCTCTTGCCGGAGCCCGCCCAGAGCTGGGTGTGAGCCTGGCGTCACGTCAACGAGCAGAGGCAGCCAGGCAGCGGGGCGGAGTGCGCGTGCGCGGCTCGCGGGGCGTGGGAGCGGGCTCGGGGCGGCGGCGGGCACGCGCGCGCGCGCGCGTCCCCGGGCAGCCTGGGCGGCCGCTGCTGCCTGTAACTGCTCGCTGCGGCGCTGCTGCTCGCCGGTCGTTTCCCTGGAAGGCAGCGGAGGCGGCGGTTGCTCCAGACACCTGCGGCGGCGACCCCCCGGCGGCGGCGGCGGCGGCGGCGGCGGCGCGGAGATGTGGCCCTTGGTGGCGGCGCTGTTGCTGGGCTCCTGCTGCTGCGGTGAGTGGCTCGGGGATCCCGGCTCTCGGGCTGGTGCGCAGCACCCGGGCGCCCCCGCAGGAGTGTGGGCTGCACCCCCGCCGGTCAGGCGGCTCCGGGAGAAGAGCAGAGAGGAGAGGAGGAGAGAGAGGGTGGCGGGATGCGCGGGCCCTGCGCACCCCGAGCGCCACCGTGGGAGGGCCCCGCGGGGCATCGGCGCCCCTGCCTCCTCCCTCCCCTCCGCTGATCTCCTTCCGTGGTCCCTTTTTTTCTCCACCCCCCCCCCCCCCCCCCCCCCCCCCCCGGGGCGAGCGGGCTGAAGCTCCTCACTCTCCAGTGCGCACACATAGGAAGACTGGGAACAACTGCAACTGTGCAAACCTGAACTGCGAAGAAAGCGAGGGGGGCAGCTGCCAGGGACCCCCCCCTCCTCTCGTACCCCTCTCTCCCTTCTCGGTGCTTCCACGCAGCATTTGGGACTGAAGGACTGGAGTGGGAGGACCGGGCCTCTTGTGATGAAGTGCGCATTTTGGTGAAGTCGACCAGAAAGGCTTTTGCTCTACCGTGTTAGCACTGGAGCAGAGGGGACGCGAGGAACCTAACTTTCATTTCCCAACCAGCATTTTTCAAAGATTTTTTTTCTGGCCACGTATTTTGGTGGTTGTTGTCTTGAATCCTAAAAGCAAGCTTCCTGGAAATACTTTCTCCTAACACCCCCGCTGCCGCCACCCCCTCCGCCAGCACTTTGATATATTCCTTATTGTAGATGAAAGTTGTTTTTATTTTTATTTTTTTCTCCTTTGAGGAAACGTCTTTTTAGAATTTACTCAGATGTTGCCAGTGGTCTGAAGACAATAATAACGAATCAAAACACATATGCAGCCGACTGGTCCTTAGATGCCAGAGATGCACTCCACCTCCCCATCTTTTGTAAAGTATTTTGCTGTTTATAAACATGTACCTCCTCTGTAAAAAGCTGAGGAAAGAATAGGAATTTATGTGACCATATACTGCCCATCAAGCTTCATATCCGTAGATTCCTCTGCGAACTTTTTTTTTTTTTTGAAAGATTTAGAACAGGCTTGAAGCAAGGATAACAGTAAATGTTAAATTTGTCTTAGGATGGTAAATTAATTCACCGTTAAACTGATGGTTAACCTCAGTGTGCCACTCATAAAGGCCCGCATCTGGGAGCTGTTTCCAAGATGCCCTTAGTTCCCAGCTCACCACTTTCCCCTCCCCAAGCATCCTGCATGTTGTAGCTGGTAATAATAAAGATCTGTGGTATCTAAATTGTCGGAGTTAGGTATTCTTCGATTTCAGTCATCTTTACCATGATTGTTGCCATCGCTATGATTGTAACATTGTTTTCAGATACCTGTTGTATAATCAGAGAGCTTTCATATTGAGCCAGGTATAAATTTGTAACAAAATGCCACTAATTCAGACCATGGAGGATGAAGCTTGTTTGTCTGAAAAGTAAAAATATAAGCCATACACTATGTTGGTTTTTTTTTTTTTTTTAAAAAGCCTGACTTTCAAGTAGATTAAAGAACAAAACTGTCAGAAAGGTAGTTATGGTGATAGGAATTGTGTTAGGCCTTTGTTACCAATAGTTATGATTAATTAATGCTCATTTTGTCCAATGTTAACACATTTGAATCTAGAAGGAGTTGCAAAATTCAGAACTTGCACTAGGAAAAAAAAACAAAAACCCAGAAAACCCAAACCCAAAATACAGGCATTATGCTTTTGACTTGTTAGATATATGTAAATCAGGAAGTGAATGTTTGTCAAAGATAAAATAGACTTTTGTGTGTGTATCATATGTAGTTGGTTCAAAAGAACATGCATGAAAACATGCTAACAGTCTGAGAACACACGCAGTCATCAAGGGACCCGGGAGGCTAGATTTAGAATCTAGAATGAGAATGAAAGTCGTGGATTTTGAACGTTCATTGGTGCTGGAGTTGATTTTGTTTTCAGTTTCAGTTATGATGAAATGGGCAGCCAGGGGCCATGTCTTTGTAATCTTTACAGTTTCAGTGACCTCTGTGGTAAAAGGGGAGTGTAGGGAGGGGGACTTCTAACACCCCCTTCAGCCAATTAAAACCGAGTGCAGCCCTCTGTAATGGTTTACAGGATATGAAATGAATGTGTATACCCCTTTCCTGTATGTCCAGCCACACTTCCTTTAAGAGGATAGCAGTTTCCCGGTAGTCACTAAATAGTAAATACAACCTTCAGTAAATAATGTCAGCCGTATCTATGAACCAGTAATTTCTTTGATGGTTGAATGATTTTTTTCTTTGTTCAAAGTGACTTTTAGAAGTCAGGCATGCACATGATTGGGTTAAAATGTTTTATTATCTAAATATAGCAGTAATGTAGCTGCTCAGGTAAAAGTGTTTTCTTTCCTCTTGGAGAACATGATTTTAAGGCAGGAGTTGCCATTTTAAAGGAATAAATGCCTCGGTACGTGCCCTTGTCTGTGCAGCTGCAGCAGCCTGGAGCAACCTGCTCATGCACTGCGTTAAATGTCTACATTGGGACCCTCCTGCTGTCGTCTGGGTTTTGACAGATAACTTAACTCCATCAGGAAAGTGCTCATAAAAGTTTGGAAGGCCATGTTCTAAAGGCAAAAGAGGGGTGCCTCCCTCCCTCCCTCCATTGGTACATGTTCTAAATACAGAATCACTGAAGTTCATGTTTTTATTTCAGCAGTGTGCTGCCATTTGTAGGGAACTATTTCACCTGTCTTTGAGGTTTCTGCTGTCGTAGATTTAGTTAAAATACAAAATGCTGCATTTTTATAGCCTGTGTCTCAGTCTAATATAATGCATACTCGATTATAAAGCTACTTTCACTTTGCATGTGAGTGCAGTTACTCATTGGAAAAAGAACAAGAATAACTGTAGATTCAATTTTGCTAAACTCGCTGTAGTGCAAAAGTAGGGAACAGAGCACCCATACTTCCCTAGAGCAGTGGTTCTCAACCTTCTTCATGCTGCAACCCTCTAATACAGTTCCTCATATTGGCGTGACCCCCCCCCCCCCCCCCCGCCACCATAAAATTATTTTAGCTGCTACTTCCTAACTGTAATTTTGCTACTGTTAGAAATCGCAATGCAAATATCTGATACGAGGGATATCTGATAAGTGCCCCCCCCAAAGGCATCACGACCCGCAGGTTGAAAACTGCTGTCCAAGACAAAGACTCCAGATGTGGAGTTTTCCCTGCTTGTGGTTGGCTCCATGGAATTGAAATTGAAATGAGAGGCTCCACCCTTCTCTGAATATTTCACTCCTTACCCATGGTGCACTGCACAGGATTTAGAGTCTGTTCAGCCTCCAGATTTTGAGGGGGGAGGGAGGTCAAGAGAATTCATGTGCAAAAAAAAAAAAATTTTTTTTTCTTTTTTCATTTTTAGCAAGTGTGAGCCTATGCTGCACTCCACTAAATACTCTACCAGACTCTTAAAGGCACAGAGTCATATTTCAGACTTCAGACTTGTATGCATCTTAGTAACTTACTGTGTGGTTTATAGAAAGGAAAAAAAACGTTTATCTTTCAGTGGCACTTGGCACACTTCAGAAGGTCATGATAAGGCCAGACTGCAGGATGTTAGCAGCTTCAACCTGCCCTAACCCCTGTAATTCTAGGTTGCCTAGTTCTGTTCTTATAAGGACACTTGAAGGCCAGTGAATGGGGCAGGATTGCTTTGAGTCAGGCTGAGTTAAGCTGTGGACTCCCCACTGGACCCCTGACCTTTATGTTTAGCATCTACCAAGGAGAGCTTGGACTCTACCCTTCTCCCCTCCTGACTTCATTTTAGTCTCAGACCCAAGTTTTTCCTGCCAGAGTCCGGTTCTGAGGGCAGAGTTGTAGGGTTCCTTGCTGCCAGGCAACGTCTTTCATCGTGGATGCGTCAGCTGCCTGAGCAGCCATTGGGGCTCCTCAACCCGTTTGTGAACATCACTCCAAGCTGACAGTTCACTTCTGACTCCTTTGTGAAAAATGGTAGGGTGGTGTTCATCCGAACACTACTAAACCAAGCTTCATGGCCCCCTCTTTTAGCTCGCCCCAAAGAAGCCCCATTCACACTCCCAAGGGGATGACAGCCTCTCTGCACCTCCTTCAGATCCACCACCTCGGAGACCTGTTCTCAGAGCTTACTCCCCAGTCTTGCAGTCTAGATCTTGCCCTGGCCGTCGACTCCTTCCCCTTAGCTGGCAGCCATTACCAAGTTTTACCTCATAATACAGAAGAAAACCAAAGCCCAAGAAGATCCAAAAAATCCTTGCCCTGGTCCTCACCTCAACACTTGTTGGACGTTTCTCTCTGCTTTCTGACTGTGAGGTTTATTTAAAGGCTCGCAACGTGGTCCCACCCGTCCATTGGCATCCTTGCATAGAAAGCAGCTGCTTTCCAGTCCTCGGCTGGTTTTTTGGGTGTTTAACGTGCGGGGTAGCATCTCCTTTGTCTGTAGGAACCCTAACCCTGCCTTGACGTCTGCCATGTTAGCATGGTGGCTTGCTTTGTGTGCTTCCCCTGCTCCTCTCTCTCCCTTGTCCTATTCTCTCTGATTGTTGTCCCCGTGAATATTGCCATTCCCAAGCTTATGCTCTCTGCTGTTGGCTTTACAAGGACCCTGTGTGGTCGGTCTTCTTTATGCCGACAATTTCAACTACCAGCGAAGCTCCTACTGATTCCCAAGTCTTTATAGCTCTGACCCTTCCTCTGAAACCCAAAGTCATAAATTCTGGGATCTACTGGACATGGCCACTTCATTGACCCACTGGCGCTTTTAATGCTTAGACTGAAGCCCTGAAAGGATAACTCCCCTAAATCTTCAGCCTCTTTTCCATATAATTAATCTACAACCAGCTAGTTCCACAGACTATTTTAGTTTCCAATTTTCATTTTTCCTTTTTTATCTCCTCACCTCCCACATCTGACTTCTGTTGATTTTGCTGCTTTGATTTTTAATGCCAATTTTTTTAGGCCTCCTTTCTCCTTG